TCTATCTATCTATCTATCTAGCAAGCTAATTACATATTAAATAATCTATATCTATATACCATTAAATACAACTAAAACTATAACTACCTAACAGAAACTGTGTTCATCAAATGTGACCTAAAATCAGTAAAACCGAAATACATTTTTTCCACCACATCACTTAACATATAAAAAATTAAAACAACTGCTTGAAAAACGGCATTTAGAAATAGTGAAAGAGTTACGCCGACTGGACATAGTGTGAGCAAAGATTGGAAGGTCAGTCTGTAAACAATAACAGAGAAGACGATGTAAATGAACATTAAAATAACACATTTCATAACTTAACAAAAGCGTATATCATAGACGGAAACGTAACAGTAAATATTACTGTATCTGATACACAACAGATTTATATAAGAATTAATGACAAACATCATACATCGCCACTATACATTTTTTTAACCTTTAGATTAAACCTTTCATTTTGAGAAACACAAAACTAAAGAACCCAGATTACAACTTGGGTAGAATTGAAATGATTTCGAAATACTGTGGAAAGACGTGGACATCAGAATACGCCATAAGAAGGGGAAAAAGTACACACCAATTCAAGAACAAGAAACTCAGGAAGAAAGTGAATTAGGTGAAATTACATACACATACAAACTACATTTTTTTAGTATACTTAAAAGTAGAGAATTAATAAATAATAAATAAAAGTGACACATGATGAATAAATTAATAAAACTCAGATCGGACACACACTGGGACGGCACAATGTTTTGTTTACAAGAGACCCGTGCTAACACATTTCATTTCCTCTCTAAAAGTATTAGCACGGAATGTTTCGAGTCACAGCACCTCTGTGGATAACTAGAGACCTGAGTGAAACCTTCAGCATCTTCAACCCTACTTAGAAATAAGTATGATTTTTTTTTCGTTGGAGGGAAAGATTACTTTTGTGCATTCTCAAGTAGAAAAAAATGTGCTTGACAAGTTGTATTCAGAGACAAAACTGAAAGCTACATTTTATCATAGCATGAAATCTATGCATAATAAATATATGATTTCATGCAAATGCTAGCTTTTATTAGCATATCCAAGAACCATTTCAGTTGGTATGATGTTCCTGTCGATACTTCATAACATATCGAACATCCTATTAACATCTGGATCTTGAAAAGAAAACCTAAATACCAAGCAGGAAGAACTGTTGATTGAAAAAATACAATCTGGAAATGACCCACGACGAAAACAGAATTTTGTTATGTCTAGGAAATGCATCGCTGGTCTACGATTATCTTTGCATCTAATATTCAAGATTACTTTGATGTTCAAACGGTTTTGACCTCAAGTATCTGATCTTATATGAGGCTTTGGAAAATAATAAATGAAAAGGAACATCTGGTGTGAGATGTAAACAACTCTCGTTTTTTTTCTTCATTCCTTTATCTCTTGATCTGCTTCTCATATCCCAAGTTTGGCAACGTGAAATGATGGCTGACATTACAACACGATTTGTACGGTATGTACATTATCATGAGCTACGCGGTAATGTATCATTCATTAAAAGGGCCATATGATCCACCCTAGAAAATTTCCGAATTATTTTGAAATTAAAGTTATTTTCCTGTAAGACTCGAACTGGCCACTAATAGCTAATTACTTGTTCTAGCCGAACTCTACATACTCTGATAATTATAATTATAAATATTTACGAAAATATCGCCGGCCAGCAGCGAAATTCAAAAGGTAAGTATATATAAGATTCAATACAGCCGTTAACAACTATTCAGGAAGAGATGAAATGGAATTGGCTGCGAACTAGGCGGAAAATGTGTGACTTGACGTGGATTGTGTGAAATGTTATTGTGTGCGATTTGTTTTATGGGGGGATAAAGTGGTAATGTTTCCTTGACAATACACGAACTGGGTTCGTAAGATGCCTTGCGACTTTGATTAGATGTACAAGATAACTAATCATTTACATTTCGGCATCAAACTGAAGATTTTTTTTAATGAACCTCTTGTCGCGGCATCTGCGGTGTGGTTTTGGAAAACCAGCCTCTGTGATCTAAACCACATCTGTGTGTATTACACACAGTGGGTATGTTATGGGTAGGAGACTGACAACTGGATTGGATGTATGTAGATCTATAGAGAAATATTAGGATTACTTGAAAGCCTTTTGGCTTATGTTAGGACAGGAGGATCAGGAAGCGGCCGAAGGGGAATGTACCTCCCTCGGTGGTCGTCTTGCAGCTGCAGAAGCAAGGGCGTGAAGACAGCAGCGCGGCCTCCAGGAGGTGGAACGCCGATGCCAGAGAGACTTCGCCCTCTGTTCGACCGCCCTGACACGCCTACCCGTTTCCTGGACTCCTGTTGGGACTTTCTGTGCTCTCGTGGTATCGAGAAGGTCTCCAGGTGCGGCAGGTGGCTGAAGCTCGGCGGGAGAATCTGCACGTAGTAGGGCGCGGGAGCGTTGACAGGGTGCTGGGACCTCTCGGAGATCTCGGGGCCGATTTGCGTCACGTTGCCCGCTGACACCGACACCAAGTGCTGTCGCGACGGCTGGTTGTCCTGGTCATGGCTCTGGCTCGCGTGGCCCTGGTGCTGTGCTGGCGGTCGATGCTGCTGCTGCTGCCCTGAATATTGCTGTCGCTGTAGTAGCTGCTGCGTTGGCGACGTCTGGTGATGCTGCTGTGGCTGGCCCTGGTCTGAGCGAGGTGGAAGCAGGAGAGGCTGCAGAGCTCTTCCCCGACCCACGATCGTCTCCAGGGGCGGGCTCCGGACGGGTGGCATCCGAAGAGGGCCGCCGTGGCCTGGCGGGGGAAGTCTTGGCGGCGCATCAGCTGGAGATGGGAAGGTCCTCTGAGGAGAGTCCCCGATGGGGGGCTGATTGGACCAGGCGGGACGCGAGTGCGAGGGAGAGTACGTCGCGCCGTACGAGACGGACTCCCGGTTCTGGGCGTTCGGGGAGGGACCGGGGTGACCCAAACCTGAGCCCAAATCTAAGCAGGAGGACGGGTCCTGGCAGTCGCTTTTCTCTTCGGCGGCGCTTTGCTCTCGGCTGAAGACGTTGGCAGGGAGAGGGCCGAAGGTCAGGGCGCGGGCGCGCTCCCGCACCGGAATCTCTCCATCTATCACGCTGTTGTAATCCACTGGGCCATGGATGTCCTCGCTCAAGCCGGGTCCTGTATGGAAGGCGGAAGGGTAGCGGTCCAGGGGATGGAAACCGAAGCCCTCTTGCGGGAAGCCATTTATGCCATCTCTATGTTTGATAAACTGCTGCGTCACGTCAAAGACCTGCGGATTCTCTAAGTTCTTCTCGGGTTTGTCTGTAGAAGTAGATGACTTCAGAATCGGCCCTGAAGTAGAGGACACGAGCCAGGGACTCTTGGACGCAGAACCCAGGGTTCCTGGAGTAGTACTCAGGTGTGAAGCCTCGGTTCCAGCCACGCTGCTGTCACCGACTGGAGATTCCGTATGAGTTGCAGGGCTTGGAGAAAGAGCTGTGATCAGCTGATCGATTTCAGTTGAGGTTGCAAGGAAAGGATTGCTCGCTCTTGTCGAGAAGGTACTGCCGAGGGTGCCTCCGGTCGTGAAGACGACCCTCTGAGGGCTATCACTCACTGTCGTCACGTCGGCAATCGTCTCCGTCTGGGAGACTTGCCCAGGGTTACCAGTCGTTGACAAACTCTGCGTCGAAGTCGTCGGAAGAGTGACGAACACCTGGAACTTGCCCTGACTGTTCTTCTGCTTTTCTGCTGCGGCCATTGCGTTGAGGTTCGAGGTTTGGACGAGAGGAGGCTCAGTCGGCGAGCCCGTGACCCCAGAGGGCTGAGGCGGAGGTGGGGGATGCATGAAGCTGGTGAGGTTGTGGGGTCTGTTGGCGAGATCCGGAGCGGGGATGACGCTAACGGGGTCCTCGCTGCTCACCGCCACGTCCTCCGAAGCCTTGGGGGGCAGAGTGATCCTCCTGCCGGGCGGCCCCCCGAGTCTCACGCGGTCGGCCAGAGCGCTGGGAGGGTTCGGGCGTGGCTGCTGGGGCTGGCGAGGGTTCTGGAGATGATGCGACAGGGAGGTCGTGTAGAGTCCCTGTGGAATTTCCTGGTAATTCGGAGGGACTTCGAGTGTGATTGACAAGAGTCCTTCGCCGCTTTCAGGTGACAGAGGAACGTTGGGGAAGGCGTCGACGGGACCAGGGACGACGCGGGTGTGGTTGAGCGTTCCCTGAGACACGTTCTGAGTGACGTTCTTTCGGGGTTCCACGCGCTGCGCCACCGCCAACCTCAGTCCCGGGACGTGACGGACTTCGTTCTCGATCTCCTGCAACGGTAGGGTGGTCAACACTTTGTTGTCTAATGATGATAATAATAATAATAATAATAATAATAATAACAGTGATAATAATAATAATAATAACAACAACAACAATAAATAATAACAACAATGATAAATAATAACAACAACAATAATAAATAACAACAACAACAATAATAAATAATAACATCACCAACAATAACAATAATAACAATAATAGCAACAGCAACAATGATAACACCAACAGCAAAATAAATCCAAGTTGGAAAAGGTACCTTGTGTTTCTCGTCGCCGCCGTGGTCTGGTCTGGGCTCCTCCAAGGGCCAGGGCGTGATGGGCGGTCCGTGGAGCACCTCTCTTGCCGGGCACTCCCCTGGCAGGAGGCTGAACTGCATCACCTTCTCGGACACTAAGGTTGTCCCTCGGTTGCAGAACGAGAGGCTGTAGGAGACAGAAGTTGTGATATTTTTTGTATGTATGTATGTATAAATATATATATATATATATATATATATATATATATATATATATATATATATATATATATATATATATATATACATATACACACATATATATATATATATTTTTTTTTAATCATATTTGTTGTGACTTTTTTGTCTTCAGTTCTCTTTTATGTTTTTTTTTTCTTTTCTACTTTTATCTATTTTCACCCACTCCATTTCCCATTCTTT